CACCACTAAGCTATATGCTTAGCGATAGTTGTTTCTATCGTAGGGAATGATCGAGAGGAGGCATGAAGCTGGCCATTGGGGATGGAAGATCACAATTGCATATAGACATCTATATTTTGCATAAACCTTGGGACTTGTACATGATCAATGTGTTGTATATTTACATGAAGTTTTGAGGACGAATTTGATCATGTCACCATGGGTTGTAATATAAGCATGACTATATGTTTTGTTCTTTTGGGGTGTGTAAGCCCAAGTCTTGTAATGTATTAAATTTACCACTAATTTTGAATGATGGTGTGAAGCATGAACCACCTAGTTTGAGTATTCGAAAGTTAGAAATATTTTTTTTTAACTAATGTGAGGGCAATATATGTATAAAAATCTCGTAAGTTATTGGCTTATATTATTTCGAAAGGGTCGTTACAGGCCCAATATTTGGTACCTTTCCTACAAATCTAATTTTTATTGGGCCTTAGGCCCAATTCCACCTGTCCTAGAATCTAACAAGATAATAGATAAGTGGGCTTAGGCCCGAAAGTAACAAAATACAACCTCTGGAATTAAGAGTGGCCATCGGCCCAATCTTTTCAATTTTTTGATCTGCCGCATATTCTTTCGATTCCAGGACCCGTTCGTCGATTTTAATGGCCGGCTGACTCGAATAAAAAAGGGAATTTTGGGGCCTTCATGGCCCCATTGAAAATGCAAAGATGGAGTCTGTGAGGACTGAGGGCAGATTTCACATGCAACAAAAACGATGATAAGAATTAATCAAAGGCAAATGACATGGAACAAATAACAAATAACAAATTAATGAAAGAACTTTATCCAAAATTCAAATAATGAAAATAAGATAATCAATATGCCAGGGATAGCTAAGAAAAATAAAACATATTTCAAGGTGAAATTCAAAAGGGCAGTGAACAATTAAACTATCTACTAATACGATCATTCAACAATTATCTCATGGCACATGCTATTTGAGCCTTTTCCTGACAACAACAAAAAATAAAAATAAACATCTAATTCATAGAGCCTATTGAAACTCAAACAACATCGAGGGATACTTTTAGCAAATCAGAACATACTCAAATAAAGCATTTCAACTCCCCTTGCAAATACACTAATGAGAACGGGCCATAAACTAAACGAACTCTCATTGCTAGCTAAATTTTTATATTTAGAAGCTTGATTAAATTGGACAGAGACATTTCTACTACTTCTTTAAACCTTCAAAGGCAAAATTGTAAACACATACAGTAGGTAAAATAAAAATAACAATAAAAAAAGAAATACTATTTACTAAGATGAGCTTTCCAAACCAATTGTAACAACAAGATACGAACAAATAGTGTTAAGACTGGGACGTGAAAAAAAAGACTAGATGACACTATTATTGACAGCAACCCATCACTATCTTAGCTCCTCCTTTTTTAGAATAATATAGTCATGATATACCCTTTCAAGAAGCTATAAACAACAAGCAATTTTTTTAATTAAAATCTGGGCGAAATGAAGACACGAGCATGAATCAAGCAGAACCTGCTATTAGAGGACTATCATGAGACCAAGAAAAATGGAGAAAATATGAACTATTGCATCCAATGAACAATAGATACAACAACACTCAACCTCCAATATTAGAGCTTCTGAGATTCTGTCTCATTTTGAAAAGCAGATAACAGTAACAGTAGCAGAACTTAACGAAGACCTTTGATGTTAAACAAAAGGATAATTGAACGAAAATGGATTTGACAAAATCCAAATAAGAAAACGAGAGAAACAATCACAAATGAATTCAAGCAAGGATACAGAGAGGCGACAACACTTAAAGCAAGACAATAAAATTTTGAATCCACATTAGCATTACATGACCACAGAGTAACGACTTTACAATGTTGGAAATGACATGAGAAAGATGAAGGGAATATCGGAGAAGGCGTTACCTTTTTCCAGGCAGCAAACGAAACAGACTAGCTAGAATGCACTTCCACAAACTCGAACGAGCAATGAACAGATTAAGGGAGTGAAACTGAATCCAAAAATCGATCCTACTCTCTGTTCTCGAGTGTAACTTTTTCTGATTTATGTATCTATTTATCGCTTCTTCACTTTCGCAAACTAAACTTTCTATAGAATTTTCTACTAAAAATCCCGACCCTTTTCATTAAAGAAGAAGAGGTTTAAATAGGGGAAATTCTAGGGTTGTTTTTGGGGAGAAAAGGGACGAGAATTCAGGTGATTTCCAATTCGAAATTCAAATTTTCTTAAGGAGATAAGGTTGAAAGCTGTCCATTGTACTAATTCCCAACGGAATTGAAAGGAGAGTCGTCCGATCTTAAACAAGGACAAGCGAGGCATCAAGATGGCAACACTTGGAAAATTCGACAACGGTCCTCGTACGAGATGGACTCGTCGCTGCTGGACTCGGGTCGCTGGATTCAATTTCGCTGCGTACTAGTTTGCGAGTTGGGCTGCTCACGATTTTCTGGGCTGGTTTTCAGTTCGCTGGCTTTTTCTGGATTGGGTTCTGAATTATCGCGAGGAAGAAGTCACATATGGGGTCGATGGGTATCACGTACTGTTTGGGTCGGGTATGGTGTTGTAGTGGGTTTGATATCGTTGTATGTATATTGCTGGTGTGTTGTTGAAGTATGGGTTATTTTGTGGGTTGCTGATTGCATTGAAATTAAGGTGTTGGGTTTGTTTTGTTTGAGAAGTGGGTTGGTGAAAGGAATTGTCCCAAAGTTGGTCTTTGATATTACTAATTAAGCCATATTGAATTGTAATTGGCCAGTTGAGATTACACACTTAACCAAATTGAATTTTATTTGCAAATTCGGTTAAAATCTAAATAAGAAGAATTAGTAGAATTAATTTAGGAGCTTCTCATTCTTAACAAAATAAAATAATCAATTCAACTATAAACTAATTAATTTTTAAAATTAACCATAATTTAAACCAAACTAAATTAATAAATTATTCAATTTAAAAAATGTAAAATCCTTTTGAGGTGATTTTCTGATATTCATAAAATATACTAATTATATATACGTAATTATGTGAAACATATTTATCGCTTAAAAACTATAAAAACCGAATGAAATACTTAAAATAACCTTGAAAAATATTTGAATTTTATAAGGCTAATTATTCTAAATCGTTTGAAAATTAAGAAGCTCGGAAATTAATTATTATCGGGGAGGGTCAAAAATTTGGGTGTCAACAACTATCCCTCGTTTTACTTGGATTGATGCAAGAAATTTGAGGAAAATGAAATTGACTAATCCAATTTTGACCGACCACATTTTCGTCTTTTGAAAAAGGGATTTGGTACGGACTTTAGGAATTATGGCCGAACCCCGAAAGTGGGTTTCCTACATATCTCAGGCTATATGAGAATTCAGGTAACTTGTAGTTCGATATTCTTAATTTAACGCACGATTTTGAAAAAAATCAAAAGTTATTCCTATATCGAATTATGAATAGACCGAAACACTTGGGAATAATATTTATGAGAGAATATCATAACACAACCAAGTTTTCAACACTGATCCCGCCTACCTATCCCTCAACTCAAGGAATCAAACTGTTTGTAGTTCGACTCGATCAGTTGAAAAAGAAATCTATTATGCTAGATAACCCTTGGTTCTGGAAGAGTGACAAATAAGTCGAGTATAAAAAAGAGGCTTGCAGCCTGTTAACTATGAATGTGGTGCACTTCACACCCATAAGTAAGAACTTACACGGACATAATTTCCAAAGCTCTTGGTGTATTGTCACTCGGATTGGAATGTTGCTTTCGGTGGAGACCAAAAATTTCCGGATGCGAAACTGAAACCGGTAAACCCAAAGAAAAACCCACATGCCTTCTAATAGGGGTGTGGTTTGATTGTGGTGGAAGTCGCTCCTATTGTCACTCGGATTGGAATGTTGCTTTCGGTGGAGACCAAAAATTTCCGGATGCGAAACTGAAACCGGTAAACCCAAAGAAAAACCCACATGCCTTCTAATAGGGGTGTGGTTTGATTGTGGTGGAAGTTTCTCCTCAGCTCGCGTCCTAGGAATTTGGTACTCCTCTTCGGACTATGTCCCCGTTCGCTGCTAAGAAAAAGTTTCACGTTGTGCTGCATCCTTGTTGATGTCGTCCGCACCTATGGTTTGATTTGAGAATTCATCCTCTTGGATGCTCTCGCCAAAGACTGAGATAAAAATCATTAGCATAAAAAATGTAATTCAAATGGAGAGATAACGTCTTTTACCATGTTGACGCTTAGTCGCTCTCCTTGAACATTTAACGTCAGTTCCTTCATCTTGAGGTTAGGCCAATAAAACTTGTATCTCATATTTGCAATATAATTCTTCGAATGTACTTTTCCTTTGATATCGAAATAATAAAATATAGACTGATGTAATATGTTGATGGCTCTCTTGATGGCATTCTTGCAAATGAAAATAATGATGATGATTCTTCATTGGTAAGATGATGATAATGATAGGATGATGTTGCTCCATCGATAGGATGATGATGTTGATGCTCCATAGATAGGATGATGATGTTGATGCTCCATTGATAGGATGATGATGTTGATGCTCCGTTGGTAGGATAATATTGATGAAGGTCCATTGGTAGGATGATGATAATAAAGAACCGTCAGTAGGATAATGATGATGATGAAGAAGATCCGTTGGTAGGATAATGTTGATGATCCATTGGTAGGATAATGTTGATGCATTGGTAAGATAGTGTCAATGATCCATTGGTAGGATAATGTCGATGATCCATTGGTAGGATAATGATAATAAAGATCCTTCGGTAGGATGATGTTGATGAAAATGAAGATTCATCGGTAGGATGAGGATATTCCATTGATAAAATGACGATGATGTCCCTCTGGGTGATGGTATTATCTCATTTGATAATACTCTAGGTGATGGTCTTCAAACGTTCTTGATGCTGAAAAGTGTAATCTCGTGTCATCGAAGATGCTTGTATATGTTGAGAGTGATGTTTTCACTTGTTCCCATTTTGAACACTTTGTTTTCGTTGTGACTTATGCTTTGATGGGAATTTAAACGAGGTGTTGTTGTTCGTATTCCAAACTCTTTCTTTTTTTTCTAAAAAACTTCAATGAC